ACTTATTTTTCTCATTTAATTTACGTTTGTCAAGTATTTGTAAGCATGTCAGTACCTTTGAAACCCAATTTGTATTGTAGGGTACAAAGAGTTTTAATATCAAGATTTGTAGCACGTCAATAACATGGTGGCAAGAATGTAGTTGCCCAAACAACACTCCATGTTTAATATAACACTCAGTTTTAATTTGGAACTTCAACAAGTACATTTAAAATTTTAAAAGTTTTCATCCCACAATATGGTCAAATTTCAAAACACAGTATGTTTGCGAAAAACAATCAGCAAATTTTATTTTTCATTTAATATTGTGATAATTTGTTTGTTTTTCTGTCAGTCTTTTCTAGTGCATTTTATGTGGCTGTTGATGACATTTATATATGTTTTGGACGATCTAAATAAGAATGCCAACCATGATTGCGGTTGCGGTGGTGGAAGTCACAAATCTGGCTAATGACATTTTGTTTATTAAATGTATAAAAACCGTCTGTATTTAAGATAATGAAAACATAAACAAAAAATTGAAAACTAAATTTTTAGAAAAGTGTTTTTGTTATAAACGAGCATCATGAAGTATTCTGTTAGAAAGCCTAAAGCGTTTTTAAACCCTCCACAATAAAATGGAGTGTAAATTTTATTTGATTTTACGTTTGCAACGCCTCGACATAATCTGCGGAGACCACATCATTTGATGGAATTTTTCACAGATAGTACTTCTAGAATGTTTGATACTTCAAATGGGATATATCGGTTCACACTTTGGTATAGTCCCAATATAACGGGACGCCCCCAATAATCGGCACGATTTTCAATACAGACCCAAATATCGATGTAGCTCCCATATAACAGTACCCCCATTGTACGGTATTAGTTTTTCAATATTTTCAATATAGGCCCCAAATAACAATACCTTTCCATATTCGCTATTTTAGGGATGTTGGGTACGTTTTTCCATAGAATTGGCTATAATTTGGTAATTGCGTAGTCGACAAAAATTATGATTATCGGTCACCGTTTTGTATAGCCCCCATTTAACGATATCCCAACTGTTCTGAAGATTACAAACCAATTTTACAAATGTCATGGTTGGTGGGTGGTTGGCCCGGCCAAACTAAACGACATGTTTACTTTTTATACCCTTCACCACACTGCGGTACAGGATATTATGTTTGTAACAGTCAAAAGGAAACGAAATAGAAACATGGTTCCTTTTGACAATATGCATAGAATCACTTTCTGAGTCGATTTATGCATGGTCGTCCGTCCATCTGTCTGTCCATGTTAAATTGTAAACAAATTACAGGTCGCATTTCTGATACAAATTGGATAAAATTTGGCACAGTTCATTTACTTGACCCAAGGACGAACCCTATTGAAATTGGGAAAAAACGGTTCAGATTTAGATATAGCTCCCATATATATTTTTGTCGGATTTAATGTAAATGGTTCACTAACTTCCCCACATATCTTTCGATTTTCACGAAGTTTTGCATAGCGTACTGAATTAAGTCTAGAATGATGTGTGCCAAGTTTCGTAAAAATCGGTTCATATTTAGATAAAGCTTCCATATATATATATATATATATATATATTTGTCCGATTTAATGTAAATGGTGCGCAAAGTCCCCATATTTACTTCGATTTGCACGTAATTTGGCATAGCGTACTTAATTAAGTCTAGAATGATGTGTGCTAAGTTTCGTAAAAATCGGTTCAGATTTAGATATAGTTCACATATACATTTTCGACCGATAAAATGTAAATTGTGCACCAAAGTCGCTATATATCTTTTGATTTGCACGAAATTTGGCATAGCTTACTTAATTGAGTCTAGAATGGTGTGTGCTAAGTTTCGTGAAAATCGGTTCAGATTTAGATATAGCTCCCATATATATTTTCTTCCGATTTTATGAAATTTTTTCACAACTTATCAAATTCAATCAAATTGAGACTAGAATGAAGTTATTGTTTTTTGTTGAAAGTGATGCAGATGGAGACATTTCTTCCATATATATATTTCGATTGGAATGAAATGAATCAATCGTTTGGTCCATTTATAGGCAAAATCTTTTAGTCGGTGCACTTATAGATAAAGACCAAATATTTAAGTTCGTTCAATTTCATGTTAGGATACATATGTAGAATATATCCAAAAGTGGTGAAGGGTATCATATAGTCGGCCAGTCCGACTTTACTACTCTCCTTACTGGTTTGTATTATGATCTGAACATAATCTTATATAATATCAAAATATAAAAAGACAGCCTATAGAACTTCATATAAAACACAGTAGATAAAATCTTCTCCTAGAACACCATTAGGTCTTCTCATAGAACACCAGTAGTTATTCTCATAAAAGAATGATAGCTTTTCTCATAAAAGACCAGTAGTTCCTCACATAGATGACCAGTGGGGTTTTTCATAGTAGGCCAATAGGTATACTAGTATTCAAATAGTTGCATGGAGGTGTTCTCATAGAAGGGTAGTAGCAGCCCATCGTTTTCTATGTGAATACTTTTCTTCTTAAGAAGACTGTCTGACCATATATGAGAAGACCTAATGGGCTGCAACCCTCCTTCTATGAGAACACCTCCTTGCTACTATGTGAACACAAGAATGTTTTCTTATAGGTCAGATTTGTTTAAATGCAAAATGCAGTGTTCTAATTTAATATCACACATTCTTGTCATAGATTTTTTCATAAAAAGAGATTCTCTCCCAGAATTCCAAAGGTACTTCTTATAGATCCAAAGATACTCTCACAAAAATATTTTCATATAACTTCAGTAGTGTTTGGCGGGTTATTTGGGATACCATTTGTATTTTGTTTTTGCAAAATAGTCAGGCTTAATCCCAGTTTGTTGTTTTTATAAAAAACAATTATTTATTAGTGGGGAATGTATGGCATTGTCCGCCGAGGGGTAAGGCAGGGAAGACTATAGTTTCGGATCTCGCCACTGATCCTCATCAGTTCCCTTAGTTTTTTGTTGGGATATTCTCCCCAGAAGCTATTAATAGCTTCTTTACAAAAAACCTTTCAAACCCAAATGTCTCTTGTGACAATTCGAAGTTCTTACGTTACCAGCGATACGACCCCAATGAGAAGTTCGTTTCGTTGGCGCCTGACTTCGTGGTCAACAAGGCATTTACAGACAACTACAATACATTTCCCACTGCTATGTGTCGTCACTTTGTGACGAATGCACATAACGTTGTTGTTGGTATTGCTAGTTAAAGCAATAAACCAAACAGTATGACCGTGCCTCGTCTACAACTTCAGTAGTGTTTGGCGGGTTATTTGGGATACCATTTGTATTTTGTTTTTGCAAAATAGTCAGGCTTAATCCCAGTTTGTTGTTTTTATAAAAAACAACTATTTATTAGTGGGGAATGTATGGCATTGTCCGCCGAGGGGTAAGGCAGGGAAGACTATAGTTTCGGATCTCGCCACTGATCCTCATCAGTTCCCTTAGTTTTTTGTTGGGATATTCTCCTTCGGCGGACAATGCCATACATTCCCCACTAATAAATAGTTGTTTTTTATAAAAACAACAAACTGGGATTAAGCCTGACTATTTTGCAAAAACAAAATACAAATGGTATCCCAAATAACCCGCCAAACACTACTGAAGTTGTAGACGAGGCACGGTCATACTGTTTGGTTTATTGCTTTAACTAGCAATACCAACAACAACGTTATGTGCATTCGTCACAAAGTGACGACACATAGCAGTGGGAAATGTATTGTAGTTGTCTGTAAATGCCTTGTTGACCACGAAGTCAGGCGCCAACGAAACGAACTTCTCATTGGGGTCGTATCGCTGGTAACGTAAGAACTTCGAATTGTCACAAGAGACATTTGGGTTTGAAAGGTTTTTTGTAAAGAAGCTATTAATAGCTTCTGGGGAGAAATTCCAACAAAAAACTAAGGGAACTGATGAGGATCAGTGGCGAGATCCGAAACTATAGTCTTCCCTGCCTTACCCCTCGGCGGACAATGCCATACATTCCCCACTAATAAATAGTTGTTTTTTATAAAAACAACAAACTGGGATTCAGCCTGACTATTTTGCAAAAACAAAATTTTCATATAATGCTAGAATCGTTTAGTATTGAATGCCAATAGGACCTTCAAAATATGCCTCTATAATCTACTACATTGGAATTGGATATATTTTAGTATACTTAATATTAAATTAGAAGCAATTCTGTAGATTGTGGGGGTACCGTTAAATGGGGGCTACCCTAAAAAGTGAAGCAAAATTGAACATTTTCAATACCAAATATCTTATGAGTAGTAGAAATTATGTGCAAATTCCAAAGTTCTATCTTAAATCGTGGAGGGTAGAAAAAGCTAACATAGTATTTGGCTACCGTTATATGGAAGTCTTGGAAAAATTAATTTAAATCCGAAAGTCAAGCTTATGGAGGGTATAAAAAAAAACCTAAAATTTCGAAAATTTTACATCAACAACATTGCTAGGCAAGACAACGTTTGCCGGGCCCGCTAGTTCAATATAGAGTTCGTACAAAATACCATTTTCAATCCTTCAAAGTATTTAAATTTTACAAAAAATCTACAAAAACGTAAAAACTAATAATGAAAGCAATATAATCTTAATTTGTTAACAAAAATTTATTGCAAATATTATTTCACGAAGCTTTACGAATGTAAACATATTTTTCTCGTAAATCACATAAATACATCACTCTGTTCGTCCTTTGTAATTTAATACATTCTCAAAATCAAAACATAAATATTCGTAACGATAGAAATAATAAATATCAGGATATGAAATACTCGTTACAACGTTTGGTGCTTGAACTCTTCTGCATCAATTCAATATTACATCTAAACTACGTACGTTCTAATTAGAGAAAAAGTAAACATTTGCTTAAATATTCAATTACAAAGAGAGAGATGCAGTGTAAATACCACTAGAAAGAAAAAAACAAAAACAGCTAATCGTTTGCTTAAAATACTACAACTGCTTAGCAGTTATTAGTTTGTATTATTTGCTCCATTGTTGGTGTTATTGTTGTTTAAATTATTTGCATGTATTCGTTCCAATTGTGTCAGTCTTTCCAATAGATTGGCAAATTGTTGTGCCAATACCATAACAGTCATTGTCTGCTCATTCTGAACACCTGTTATTTTTCTAATATTCAAGGTTTCCATATACATCTTTTTGTACAGGTCAGCTTTTTGTTTGGGATCCTTTGTGTTCAACAACAGCTTTATTAGGGTCTTCAGGGCATTCTGTAGGCGACTCTCAAACAAAAGTATATGTTTTCGGAATTCTGTCTCATTGGCACCACTTGCCGGTGATTCAGAATTGCTGCCCACTGTGCTTGCAGTATTATCAGACGACGAATTCCAATTACTTAAAGCGTATTCAAACAATGACTTGGAGTTGAGACATATATCGAGTAGTTGTTGTAAGTGTTTAATTTTCTGTGTATTGTGAAGAGAATCTGAAAGAAAAATAAAACAATTTTATTTTTAGTCAAAGCAAATAATTGTGAATGTGAAGTATGTATATTGTAATCAATATACAGAAATCCATACTTACTCTCAGTTAAAAATTCTTGCAACGATATACGTTCCAATTGTACCACCAAATAATCGGATGCTTCTCTCAAACTATCCAATATAGCTGCGGCCTTTTCGTAATGATATTTACACAGTTGGAGTATAGGTTTTGGTAATGTCGCCGAGTCGGAATAATTGTTTCTTAATTGACTGTGATGAAAGGATGCAATTCTGAAAAGATAACGAAATAAACAAGTTTTTTAAGTAATTGGAATTAGTTGAAGAGCCTTTAGATCCATCGATTTCCATAGACGTTTCTTGTATAAATAATACACTAATTTATAGCGAGAATTTTACTGAGATTAACGAATGAGAATAACCTGTTGTCATTAAAAATGAAAATATGGTGTGACGAAGTCTAATACTAATGATAGTCTTGCCGATATATTAGATTGCAAGAACAGAAATACAATGAAATGGATGGCAACTATTTCTTATCTACTGGAATATTACTAATGCTATTTGTGAAATCTCTGAATTCGAGACAGTGGCAAAATTCATTCCGCATACGAACTGTTCGGCCATTGAAGAACTAATACCTTCCTGCTTACGAGTCGAGGCCTTGTCAAAGTAAACTGTCCAATAAAGTTGTTAACAGAGGGCGACAATGTAAGCTTAACATTATAAAGATGAGCCCGGCGGATGATTCTGGATGGGCTGCTAACAAGTATACCTTGTCACCAACGTACACACGTATGAAAAAATTCTAAAAATAAATGAAACTGAACTAACGATGAAAATGTAACTATTGATTGATGGTAAAATCATATCCCAAAATAGCAATGGGTTTCAAATTTATATGCGACATGCTGATAATCTATATGGACTCAAACAGTCGAAGAATCATAGAATGAAGCATAAATTACAACAAGTTCCCACTATTAAACAGTCTATTCACCTATTTGTATGAAAGCAGCCTTATATATTTTTGGACACAGAGAAACCAGAATGAATGAATGTCATAGTTAATTGTCAACAAATTTATTCTGGACAAGGTATCAAGGCGTGTTTACAAATCGAGTTGATTTAGAAAGCCCTTCATAGCGAAAATTTCCGATAAAAACATCAGTTTATTATGGTACTTTTTTTGATGGAAAGGGATATATTAGTCCGTTTACATTTAATCGGATTTCGTTAACCCAGTGGGTTTAAATTGTCAATTTCTTTGCATATATGTCAAATAAATCCTCATAAAGTAGGTTAACCCGGTAAAAACTTCTAATGTTTTTGTTGTTTATGGGTCCAAACCAAACAAAAAAATTTTTGTGGCAATTGATAAGTTTGTTTGTTTACAAAACATAACGAAACAGCTGATTAAACATCAGCTGATGGTACAATGGACTTTGGGTAAACGAACAACATTTTGTAATAATTTGTTCAAATTATTGAGTAAACGAACGAACCTATTGTGACACTACTGAGGTTTGTAATCTTCTAGTTGTTATCGCCCATTTATTAATGGAACGATTTTTATTTTATTTAAAGTTGGCAACTCGCAATCATAAACAACAAAACAGCTGATGAACACAAAAACATATGACATTTGCGAGAGTTAAGCTATTGGTCAAATTGTCATGTCACATTCTCATAACAAATAACTAGAGATTGCAGTGCAAAAAATTGAAATTAAAAAAAAAAATAAAAATATTGATTCAAATATTATAACAATCGTGGTGTCCAATATCGTTATGAATCAGGCATTGTGACATACATTATGACATAATAGTTCTGCTGTTCTACTTTTGAAAACTACATTTGCTTATATTAATTTTCAGTTCTCATTCGACATCTCTAAGGCACGAGTGGTGAGAGATTTTTTTTTTCAGATTTCTTATTGAAAAATTATGCTAAGGTCTTTTTTGCGGCTAACAAAGTTTGAGATAATTTCCAAACAGGCAAGAAGTGCTTGTCTACAACGTAAAGCAGCCATGACCATGGACAAAGTGTATTTTCGCCATGATCCCAGCACCGAAGATTTGCACATTAGCTTCCGATATGCCAATCCGGAGCTAAATATTGACAAAGAGTTTAATTTTTGTCGTAAAATTGATGAAAAATTGGAAGTCACACTGAATAGGATTCGTGGTAATATTGAAAAAGAGTTCAACAAAAAATTAAGAAAAGGTAAAAAGAAATCGCCGGCTCAAGTGCAAGAATCTCTGCCAGAAACGATTACAAACGGAGAGGTATGTTATTAGGTGAGAAAACCTATATTATTTATTGGTATCGGTTGAATGGGAGTTATATGTATTTTGTACAATCCTCATTTTTCAGATAGCCCTTGAATTCCGCCGTTGCGATGAAAAACTGGAGGATATCACATTTGCTGAAATGTTAAAGGAACAACCCAATAACATAACCTTAAAAGTATTGGAACAGATATTCAATGTTGTGGTAAATCAGCCATGGGTGGTTAATGTGGTGTTGCCCACCTCAATCATGGCCGGCTTTACCGTGTATCCAAGTAAATTGGAAATGAAATATTCCGATAAAGCCTTTTGTCGTGCGGAATGGTTTAAGGCCAAAGTGGTAAGAGTTCATTTAATTTGAAGCCTGTTAATATAAATAAATTCATATTTTTTCTATAGCCGCCATCGGGAAATATTCAACATGCAACATGGTTAAAATGCGGGGAAGGTTTTTCCTATGAAACCTCTAACGATGATGTGGGCCATCATTTGAAATTTGTCTTGACACCTGGAAATGCTCAAGGACAATTCGGTCCGTCCGTTGAACAAATTAGCAAAAATGAAATACAGGCTGGTCCTGGAACTTGTCCATTTGATACAAGACATTTCTTTACACAATCCCGTTTAAAGGATAATGCTTTTCGCGTAGTATCTTACAATATTTTAGCTGATCTATATGCGGACAGTGATTATTCCCGTACTCAGCTGTTTCCATACTGCCCACCCTATGCTCTACGTGTGGATTATCGCAAACAATTGTATATTAAAGAACTGTTGGGATATAATGCTGACATTATATGTCTCCAAGAAGTGGACATAAAAATATTTGAATATGATTTAAAACCGGTGTTGGAAAATGAAAAACATGCCTTTAGAGGAGTTATTGCACAAAAGGGTACTTGTGGGGAAGGTATTGCTACATTTTATCGGTCTGACCGTTTTGAATTAGTTGATAGCTATAGCATAAATATTGGAGAGCAAATACAGAAGCTTGATGTTTTCCGAGAGTTATGGGAAAAAATCAAATCCAATGAAAAGCTTGTGGAGCGCATTTGTGATCGTAGCACAACGCTGCAATTGAATTTATTGAAAATGACAAACGATTGTTACGTTTTGGTGGCAAATACCCATCTCTATTTTCATCCCGATGCCGATCATATACGTCTTTTACAATTCGGCTTTAGTATGTTGTACATTGAAGATATATATAAGAAAACACTAGAGAAATATTCCCTACAAAACGAAAAGCAGCTGGCGATTGTATTTTGTGGAGATTTTAATAGCGTTCCTGAATGCGGCATTTATCGTTTAATGACTGAAGGGTTCGTGGACAAGGATTTCATTGATTGGAGCAGTAGTAAGTATTTAAAACATATGGTTGTTTGTACAAAATGAAATAATGAATTCTATTCTAGATGCTGAGGAAGCTGTAAAAGATGTATCCCTCAACCAACCGTTTGCTATTAAATCGGCCTGTGGTACTCCAGACTATACCAATTATACACATTTATTTAGTGCATGTCTAGATTATATTTTCTATCAATGTGATCGCCTCGAAGTGGAACAGTATGTACCCCTACCAACGGAAGAAGAGTTGAAGGCTAATATAGCCATACCATCTGTTGTGTTTCCTTCTGATCATGTAGCTTTAATAGCTGATTTGAAGTTCAAATCGAATTAGAAACAGTTTTTTAAGGAAATATAAAGAACAAAACCTTAAAAATCTAAAAGCCTAGTTTAATTAAATTCACAATAACGGTAGAAAAATTGCTCGTTTCCAATAAAATATATATTTTTTAAATTAACTTACCTTTGGTGAATTAAACCAGAACGATATGTATAAACAACTTGACGTGCACCCGGATGTTCAACATCACATAATTTTAATGACTTTTGCAAGAGATCCAATACCTCCTTTTCTAAATCAACACGACAGGTCTGAAATAAACATAAATTAATGTATTAAAAGAGAGAAACATAAATATAAATTTAGAAACAGATACAACGCATTCAAGTACTATAAGCGATGTTAGGCGCGATTTTTTTAAATATATATTTTTTCACTATCAGAACTATTGGCATGGAATTATAATGAATATGTTTTTCGCACAATATTTCTTAATGATTACTTTGTAAATACTTGTCTGGAATTTGTGATAAATATAAATAAACTTCATATCATATTTTACCTCATCTGCACTGCTACAATCTTGCAATTGTTTGGCCAACGTAAATGTTGCCGTAGATAGTTCCCAATTTACCAAATCCCATAATTCAGGATTCGATTTGCGTGATCCCAAAACATCCTGAGCTTTTTCATAAAATGAAAATGCTTCGTTATAAAATCGTTTTTGTTGTTGTATAACATCAATGCTAAAATAAATAAAACTTACATATTTAAAACACAATAAATTAACACAAATGTCACTGAACTTACTTCTCATTTGTTATTAGATGAGCACGAAAACGCATAAACCGTCCCATGTTGCAATATAAAAATGCCATGTTTACATTGTCTTCGACCAATCCAAAAGCTTTTATACCACGTACTAAACAGTCATATGATTTCATTGCCAATTTCAAATACAAAGGATCTGCATTTTGGGCAGTTTTCTCTTCGTCACCATCATCATTATTTTGAGATTTATTTTCATCACTAGTTTCGTCCTTCTTCTCGTCCGAGTTCTCTTGTAAATGTTTGGAATATTGTTCCTGGGACCAAAACATATATTTGACACCCAGTTCATTGCGAACATTGCCCAAACGTCGCAATAACTCATGACGAGCTTCTTCATCGCCATTTGTCTTGGCCGTGGTGGTACTATCAACAAGTTCCAAAGCATTTTCATAACATGCACAACTCGATACCATAAGATGTTCAATATTTTCCTGCGGTATAATTAGCTCAGAACAATCATCGGCTTCTGAAAATAATAAAAAAAAATATATTGAAATTAAATCTAAAAAAATAATGAGAAGTTATTATTTTACCGCTTACCCAATTCCTTTTCCAGTTCCATTTCAATATATTTTTCCGTTTCATCGGACTTATGGAAATCTTTAATATTTTCTCCAATGTTCTCCCAATTTTTAGCCATTTGAAAGAGACAATCACCAGCTCTTCCCAGGAGACAACGCTTCTGGGATACTATTGTGGAAACATATTTCAATACCACATGTTGACATTTACAGGCCATATATATGTAACGCAAGCTAAGTCCATATCTCTGTTCGACATATTTATATTCAGCCAATGTGGCATATGTGAGACAAGCCTTTTCCAGCAACAACAATTTTAGATGAATATTCCAGGATCCGAATAACTGAGAATTGAAGCTAACAGCAATTTGTTGTGACGGCATGGCATGACCATCGCTGGTTTGTTGGGGTGCTGTTAAGACTGGCTTCAAGTCACGACTTTGGGATTTTTTCATTTTCGGTTTCTTGCCTTTCGTTTCGGCTAGTGACTGTTCTGTTGTCGTGACCTCCTGTTGTGTTTCTGTTGATTTCGTTGGCGATTTCAAAGATTCGTAAGGCAATGGAATTGGTTTAAATGGTTTGGCCATATTCGGATTCTGTTCTTCGTGTAAAATTCTGGCCTTCTCTTCATCTTTAGCCCTAGCCTCAGATTCTTTAATAAACGACTCTTCGTTTTTGTTGAAAAATTGAAGGCACGACAAACCTTGGTTAATATGTTCCAACGAAATGCTGCATCTCTCCTCTACACTGGCAATGAGAGGCGAAGGTCTCTGTTTATTAGTTTTTGGTTGATGATTATCAAACGTAAACTCTTTAAGGGTATCACATATATTCTGCACGGCCACATTATGATCGTTGTTTAGATCTTGAACATTCTCCTTATTATCATAGACGAAATCTTCTTCTTCCTCCTCTTCGTCATCTTCCTCTTCGTACACTGATTGTGTATCTGAGTCAGCATCACATACATCGAATTTCGGATCTTTTGGATCAATGCCAGCAGGAATATGTAAATCGGATAGTATATAATGGGACGAGGTAACTATTTGTGGATATTTTTCTTTGGGCAATAATTTAATGCAATTATCCAAAAGAGCTCGTATGTTTCCGGCAGTCTTAGGACTTATTGACGGGTTACGATTTTTCATATTTCGAGCCACAGTATAAAGAAGCATAGCAACTGGTACGGTGAACGGATTACCCTGAGTCTCATCGTCATCATCATCACATTTCTCTTCTTGGGAACTTGTTTGGTTCTTACACAACGTTGTTAGGTCATACAATTTTACGACATCATCATTGCGTCCTTTGAATAGCCAATATGTATGTCCTTCCTTAGTGGCATTTGCCTTTAAGAATGATAAAATATTTTGTGCCACATTTTTAACTAGTTGCGGTGAGAATTGCGAGTCTTCCAAATATGGCAAATCTTCGGTTTTGATTATTTCATATTTCTGGACAATGCCGTCCAGGTGGTAGCACATCACAACTTCGGGCACGTTACACATCAAATTATCAAGCCAGTAATCGATGCCGGTGAGTACATTAATGGGCTTTGCCATATCGCGTAACCTGAGGCTAATGCATGGTCTATTAGGACCACCAAAAATAGGCATGTCAGTACCAATTAGCATCCGTATATCCTCAAAAGTCCACACAACATTGCGTTGGAAAACATGAGATGAATTTGGGTCTGGAACATTTTCTTCTATCTTAGGCTCTGGCAAAAGAGGTCCCGTAATCGGCAAAGCCGTGCGTTTTTCTTTTTCGTCAGCGCCTATTTTTTCATTAGCCTCGCAATTGGGTGACTGTTTCAATGAATAATACAAAAATTTGGACAGCAAATTTTTGGTTTGTATAGCTTCCCGTGATTTGTCTTTTAAACAAACACTATGTCCACCATCACCATAGGCCAATATTTGTTCCATTATAAATGTCCTCAACCAATTCCAATCATCATCGGCCTTTCTCAACAAATACTTTTGTATATCGAACTCATCCAACAACAGTGTATTTCCCACCTTATGCACCGTCATGCTAACGGCTCCTTTCGCAGCGTAGGGCAGTTTTAGCAATTTCTTAATATTTTCGGCATCGGCCACTACATCCACCTCGCCAACACAATCGGGAAACATATGAGCCATACGAAAACTGGCAAAGCCGGGATTATGATACAGTGCCTGCTGTAGACCATAATTGTTGTCGGCACTAGTCAACCAATTCGACGGTGGCAAATTTAAATTGGTATTACATTCTAGGCGATTAAATTTCACTGGGGCCTGAACCTGGGCAAACTTGACCACAGCTTTTGATTTAACTGTTTCCTCGACTTCGTGAGGCTCAACATTTTGACACAATTCAATCTGCAATAAAAAAACAAGGCAATATAAATGCTAGGACTATTGTACCGTATGGGGAGGAATATATTCCAACAAACCTCATCAACGTTTTCTAATTCCATTTTTTCATTACACTTAAATACGTGTGTCAATATGTATGTCCTTTTTCCGTTTCTAATTTGTTCCAGAATAACGTTGTAAATACAAATGCAAACAATCAATGTTTACGTCTGGTCACGGATAATCAGCTGATTGTTTTTTAATGAGTTGCCATATCTATTAAGGAATGTTCTAATTCTAAGACAATGTTTAGATATAAAAAAATACATATTTCTATTTGAGTTATATTGTTAAACAATTTGTATTCAGATATCGCAAGGAATTTGAAAGATTTATTTTTTACCGGAATTCTGAAATATAGACTAAAGATCAATTCGATCAAAATCAACGATCTTTTTATTTGACAAAAAAATGGTCAATTCTTAAAATCGATATAATGTAATAAGAACAGGAACAGAAAAACAGTGACAAAATCTCAAAAATCAACACAACGTCTAGTCAAACTTTGGCAAACTTTGCGATATTATTTAGATGAAAGTAGATTTATTTAGATGAAAGTAGAGGAAGATGTCGGCATTTTAATTTTGACCTCTTAAATTATGTTACAATTTTCTAAAAGACCAATTATCAATATATATATATATATATATATATAGATTTACAAAATTCAGTATCAATTAAATAGCGTATGCAAAACCTCGTAATAAATCTGGTGGATTCTATATGACATTTATGCCATGAAATTAAAAATTGAAATCTCGTCGCTTTGTGTCTATGTAAAATACATTTTATGGATTTCCTCTAAACCTTGTTTATAATATTGATAAAATTCAAACAACAGGTCAGAAATCTACTTTTAGATCCCTATTGTTTATAAACAACAAGCTGAAGGTCCTCAGACCTACTCCAAGAATTTCTTTACGATACCGCGGATTATTTTCGGAATAAAACAAACATCTATAAAAAAAAGCCTAAACCTCATTATGGGCGGTTGTCGTTGTTTCTTTCGTCATTGCCGAGTAAATAGCTATAAACAACCGCGAATTCATTTCTTTCACGTTCCTCTTAAGGACGCAGAACGCAGCAAGCAATGGATCGCATACGGAAAATTAGAATATATGTTGGAATATCCCGCTTCGAAACAGAAAAACGTCATCGTTTGTGCCAGGCATTTTCGGGATGAGTGCTTTATGAATTATAAAAAAGATCGTTTGTCACAAAGAGCTGTTCCGACAATTTCCCGTCTCTCCAAGGATAAGGCATTAGATTATGAGCTGGATTTGGAAAATGGTGTTCTAATAACTCTGCCGGAAACACAAATGAAACATTTAATACCACCCGAGGGATTTGAGTGTACCTTAGGTTTGGAAAACGACGAAAACGTTTTGGAAAAGTTGAGGGAACTTGAAAACCCCGTCGATTGTGATGAAATCAAAGTCTTAAATGGAGATATGTTTGCAAAAGTAACTGAGAACGAGTTTGAGAGTAATATATCAACAAGTCCTGTAACCCTTAACCGTTCACTTATTAAGAGACCGCTGAAAGTTATAAGAAATGATGAAGAAGTTGAGCCCAGTTGTAGCAAGAAGATCAGAATTGATCAAGTGCCATTACCTCAGGGAACAATCATTGAACTAGAATCTCCCACAATAATTAACCATCAAATAATTGGGGCTGATGGTAATGTGTGGATTGAACATGAATCGTATAATATTGCCGAAACCAACAATGATGGGGATTTTGAATTCATTGAAGTTCAATCAAGTGATGATGAAGCTTTCAAAAATCCACAGGAATTTCAAAATATTTCTACAAATGACACAACAAATAAAATAGTTTTAACAAATGTCTGTAGGGAGGAAGAGGCGGAAACAAACAATTCATTAGCGACTGTCAAAGCCAATGATGAAATATTAAATAATTTGCACCTGGAGTTGAATCTAATCAAAAAAGAAAATGCCACATTAAAGGAAGAACTGGAAAGATCACGTAATTCTTTCGAAGAAGATAATCGCAAACTAAAGGAGAAATACGAACAAGAAATTGAAAATAAATACGCTAGATATTGCGATGAAATCGAATCCTTAAGAACTAATTTAGATTTTATGGAAAAAGAGAATGCAAAGAACAAAAAGAAAATAGAAAATATTCAAAAGTTATCTCAAGTCTCGGCGGGAAAACTAAAAGAACAATATGAACAACAAATGGAAAATGAAAGAGCTAAATATGTATCAAAGGAAAATAAGCTATTGGAACGTATCAAATCATTGCAGGATGATTTGGAAACGGCAAGAACTGAATTATTGGAAACTAAACATAATATTGAAAGTGTAACAAAAGACCTGGAGAATTCACAAACTAGAAATAGGCAATTGATTGAAAAACAACTTCGAAATGAACTTTTAGAGCAAGGTTTAAAACAAAAACACGATGAGTTGGATGTAAAATATCAACTTTTACTAAAAAGTCATGAAGAGTTGCAAAAATCCAATATCAAACTGAAAGATGATTGCACAAAATTAGAAAATCAATTGCAAAATCAGGTTTCAACCATTACCACTACAGATCCACAGCCGCCCGCAGTGGCTAAACCACCAACTACTCCATCTGCCAGCACATTAACCAAGGCTCAACTATTCAACGGTATTAAACGTTATATCAGCTCTTCAATGATGGCCTTGTTACGTATGGAAATGTTTGGAAATTCCGATAGAGAGTGGAAAACAGATGAACGACAAGTGGCCGTGGATATCTTACGTTTGGGCGAGAATGTCTATAAGTACTTTACAGATGAATGGCGTTTTCGTTTACCTGGTTTGCGAGATGCAAAAACTTGGCTTAGTCAGTCTGTACAATTGGATGACGAGGAAGATCTATGATAATGTAAGGAAGGAATGCATCATTACATTTAGATATGTATTTATAAACAACATGCCAATCGGTTTATTTAGTACCGTCTATTATGATAAATTCGAAACTGGCTGAATAGATTGTATATTATCTTACATCCGATCAACAACTCATCATGTTCAGAGCTTTTTTACATTAATTTTATGTTTTGAAGTTACCGTGTATACTATTATGATTACATTTTTTATATATAGAAACAAGTAGCTCATACAAAAATCCCAAATCAAAACTTTTTTAAAGTGTAGTTTCTCCATTTTTATGCCTAAGCAAATACATTCTATATGGTATGTTCGGGTACTGCAAGAATCTACTAGTTTTTAATATTTTTTCAGATATCATAAAGGAAAATTTGTTGTCGTAGTAAAAAGTAGTATATTCTTGCAGTAAGGGAACAGACCAATATTTATTACATTCTATTTAAGATCAATAAATATAATTAGTTTTTCAAATAAGTATTTATTTGTTGTTTAAATTTAAAGTATTTTTTAATATAAAGTATGAATGGCGGTAAAGGGTACGCCATACCCATTCTGTAGTTCTTTATCATTGTGCTTCCCAGGATCTCTTACAGCAAATGGCTCAGCTGTCGCAATCAT